ACAGAGAACAATGACTGTGTTGTTCCGGCTGCCCAGGTTCAGTCATGATCAGCACATGGCCATCCTGTTTCATCTTCACCCACCCACTCCCTGCCCTGAATTACTCTGAAGCAGATGCTAGATGTTGTCGCAGATGCTCTGTGGTGGCAAAGTAAACCCCAGTCCCGATTGTGAGAGGCTTGCGCTGCCACAGCAGTGCTCACCAGCCATGAGCTCTGCGTCTGGCGCCCTCCCAAGGGGAATGGCCTGAGGGATTGGGCTGAAACCAGCTCTCCGACATCCCCCGAGGGGTCCCAGATTGCGAGAGGGCACAGGCCAGGCTGAGGGACCCCACCAGACTCCAAGGCGTGTCTGGCCCATCTCACTCAGTCCCAATAGGCCAGACCCCAGCAGCAAGCTAACATACCGGTTGGAGCACATGGTCAGTGCACGTTATAGCAGCTGGTCGACCAGCTGACTGTCTGCCCCCTGGTCATCAGTGCACATCATAGCGAGTGGTTGAGCAGCCTTAGCATATCATTAGCATATTACGCTTTAATTGGTTGTTCGGTTGTTCTGCTGTTTGGTCTATTTGCATATTACCCTTTTATTATATAGGATTGAGCAAAAATACAGTCCTCACAAGCCTCTCTCCACCCCACATTTCCCCTTATTATGAAAAAATCTTGCTCAATTTATTACAATTGATGAACCCATATATTATTATTAACTAATGTCCATAGTTTACATCAGGGTTTATGCTCTGCATGTACAAATGTATAATGGCATGTGTCCACCATTCTAGTATCATACAGACTAGTTTCATTGCCCCCCATATCCTCTGTGTCCCACCTAGTCAATCTCCTTCCCTCAGCCCCTGGCAACCACTGACCTTTTTTACTGTCTCCATATTTAGTCTTTTCCAGAATGTCATATAGCTGGAGTCAAACAGTGTGTAGTCGTTCCAGACTGGCTTCCTTAGCTTAGTCATATGCACTTAAGGTTCCTCCATGACTTCTCCTGGCTTGATGGCTCATTTCTTTTTAGTGCTGAGTAATATTCCATTGTGTAGATGTGCCACAGTTTATCCATTCACCTATGAAAGGACATCTTAGCTGCTTCCTCTTTTGGGCAATTATGAATAAAGGTGCTAATATCTGTGTGCAGACGTACGTTTTCAACTTCTTTGGGTAAATCCTGAGGCGTGCATTTGCTGGACTGTATCACATGGAGAATTTTTAGTGTGACTTGCAAACATTTTTCCTTGGTCAGTGGCTTCAATCAGAAACATTTTTTAATTGAGGTGTAGTGTTCTACAGTTAAGCACACGAATCTTAAGCATACGGTTTGATGAATTTGTACACATATGATCAAGATGTTGACCATCTCAGCACCCAGAAGGCTCCTTGTGCACCTTCCCCGTCACCGCCCCTCAACTGTCCAGAAATGGCTACTGACTTCCAGCATAATCGCTGGTTCTGCTGGCCAGGCAGCTCCCACGCTGCCACTACTGAAAGCAGATTTTTTTAGGGGAAAAGCGGCCGTTAGTAGCAGCTTGTTTCCTTTTTGGTTTGTTTTGAGTGGAGCCTGATTTCATCACCAAATTGTTCCTGCTGGTCTGGACCAGGGGTTGGCACACTTTCTGGGTAAATATTTTAGCTTTGCAGTTCAGCGAATGAGTGAGCATGGCTGTGTTCCAATAAAACTTTAGTTACGGAGATAGGAAGTGAGCCCAACGGGGCGTTGGGCCTGCATTTGCGAACCAGTGTAGAGCAGAGCTTTCAAAGCTCTGTGAGGTTCCGTCCAGGCCCGCTCAGCCTGCGCCCGTGTGTGTGGGACAGGAGCGTGCACATTTGAAGGCCCCTCAGGAGACTCTCATGCACTTTCCAGGTTGAGACATCTCAGTGTTTCCTTCTAAGGAGGAAGACAGTAGGTGTCCTGGGACCAAGAACTCCACAAATAGCTTTAAATGTAAACAAAAGCCCACTGAGCCTCTTCCCACCTTAACACTTTGATGAAGGTCTCATTTCCCCTTTCACCATCTGCCATTCTTCCCACCTCCTCTACTGAGAGAACAGGCTTCTACCAGCCAGGTGGAGGGGGCGTTGGGGACCCAGTGGAAAACTCTCCGTATTAAAGTTGAGGAATGAAGGTGGTTCTTCGGCAAAAGCATCGGGGCCGGGGAATACGGAATCTGGAGTCTTGGGGGAATCCTGAAATGAAAAGTGCCCCCGGGGAATGAGAGGGGAGAGTTGTGGTCAGAAGGGGAATTTTCCAGTGTGGCTCCTCGAGGTGGAACAGTTTCGAGTGACTCCGAGGGCTGCGACAACAACAGCTGCTTGCAGTTACCGAGCACGGCCTGTGTTTCTAGCACTTCATGCCCACCAGCTCCACTTGATCTGTTCAGTATCCTAGGAAGTGGCTGCTGCTCGCACACCCATTGTACAGAAGCAGAGACTGAGGCTGAGGGCTCATGTAGCTTAGACTCTGAGGTTGGAGCCAGGACTGGAACCCTGGCAGTTGGGCACCTCTCAAGGGACAACCAGGTGGGTGCCTGGGAGGGTGGAATTGGAAGCCAGTGGCATTGAGAGGTGGAGATGGCGTCGGAGTGTGTGTTTGCTCTGCAACTGCGGAGGTGGCAGGAGAGAATGCTGGCAGGGTGGAGGACCCCATGGCAGGGAAGAATGGACAGGCTTAAGCCATAGCCTTCAAAACTCTCAAAACTAGAAAACTGGTCTGCGGCCACATTAGCGCTAGCTGGGGGCAAAGGCTGGGCAAATTCCAGAGAGAGACTGCATGAGGCTTTGGAGGGTTGTCCAGAGAGCAGCCTGCATAAGACAGGATTAAAGCAATATTTGAAAGTGCAACAGGCATCATTTTCTACTTGCTTTGGGCGTTGTGCGAATAATAGTAATTTGATTGAATGACAATAATAATACCTCCCAACTAAGCAGAACTTTCCAACAATTGGAATTTTTTCTGTGTTTTATTTCAGGAAACCACAGCCTAAAAAGAAAGAAAAAGAAGTGGTGGGCAGGGGATTTATTCAAATACACCAACTTCCAGGTTTTACTGGACACTTGGGTCTCTCTTACATCTTTTAAGTCTATATTGTCCTACAAAGAGGACAGATGTCCCAGTGTGCCTTAAAGGACTCGATTACAAGTTTCAACACAACAAATATTTGCTGAGAATCTTAAAAGTCATGTACTGTTGGGGATATAAAAGTATCTAAAACATGGTTCTGCCTTCGAAGAACTTTCCAATGTGGTAAGATGATTCATTTATCTTCAGCGTGAAGGGGTAAAATTGTATAGAGACAGTTTATTGAAAATCCTCAATAAGATGAAGGCCAAAAGGGTATAAGAGATTCCTAAAAGTCTTGTCTTTTGGAACAGTCCAGATTTGGACGTTTTTGATCACATCTAATTCTTTTTTTTTTTCAATCCTCACCTGAGGATGTTTTTTTGATTTGAGAGAGAAGCATCGATAGGTTTCCTCCCTTATGTGCCCCGTCCAGGGATCAAACTCGCAACCTAGGTATGTGCCCTGACTGGGAATCGAACCCATGACCTTTTGGTTTATGGGATGACGCTTCAACCAACTGAGCCACCCTGGCCAGGGCATCACGTCTAATTCTAAAGTGCCAGGTACTCTGTCCAGGCCGGCCTTTCACCCAGGCTGCCCGGAGAGCCCAGCGTCGGAAAGGCACAGATGATAAATGTTCTGGCGCATGGCTGGTGTTTGGGCACGGGCCCCTGCTCCCTCTGGAACTTCCTCTGGAACATCAGGAGTAGGTGCAGAAGTCATAAACTCTGCTTCTGAGTCTTCGTCCACGTTCCCTTGGGAGCGTGAAACCACCCCACTCTATAGGAGCCCCTCGTTGACTTACTCTGACCCTGCTGCTTTTTGGGAAGTCCCAGCAGGCTCATGCCTTTGCAGGTGTGCTGGCTGCCTCTTTGTCATCCCAGATGTTGCAAGCGGGCATCTGGCGGGCCAGGATGATACGTGGCCTGCATTATTTTATTAACAGAATTAGTAGCCATCGCTTAAAATCCTATTTGCCATCCAAGTCTGGATTTCTAGCTTCTTGTGAAATGTTGAATCTGGCAGTACAAGGGTAGATGCGCAGAGTACAGTCCCTTGCCCTGCAGGGAGGCCTGCCCCCTGCCTCCCTCGCCATGGATGGCGCTTTCATTGCCATCATCATTGGCCCTGCACTGTTGCTTTCTTGATCTTGATTGAGTGTTTTTCTCTACCTGAGCTCTATCAAATGTGGATTCCTAACAAAATAAATAGAAAGCCATGAGTGTCTTCTCTTCTGCCTGGCCCATGTCACCCACGGCTGTCGCCTGCCTGGCCCCTACAGGCATTTGTTATCTATCTGCTCCGACAAATGGGTGTCCCTCGTTATTGGTTACCCTCAGGTCTCTCATCTTCCAGATACACCTTTAAAGCATTTGATGTAGGATGAGCACATTCCCCTTGGTTCTGCGTCTTCTTTGTGCCTCGGGGCTCAGTGAACAAAAGCCGTCTCCCCCTAGGCTCCATTTCATCATTTAGGTCCCACTCGTCATGAGCAATCGCGAGTTAGACCTGTCGTTGGCACATCACTCTCATTTCCCTCTGTCCAGGAACATGCATTCCCCGATGACTCGAGACAGCACCCATGAGCGGCACGTGGACCCACTGCTCCACGACTGGGTAACAGCCCAACCTTTGCTTTAGGGAACCAGTCACTGCTGCTGCTAGGTGGGAAGGCAGCGAGTGGCCACGGTCACACTTCACTTCAAAGGTGACCCAGTTTCAAAGAGGGCAAGTGATGTTTGTCATCAGATGAGGGGAAAGTACGGGATTCTTCAAGAGGGGAAGGAATCGAGAGCAGTGCTGACTGTCGCGGGCCTAATTTAGTGCCGCCCGCCCCGGAGCTGCAGCCCGGCTGAGTTTGGTGTGAAATGTGCCAGGGAGAGCGTGGGAAGTCAGACACCATGGAGTGAGGGGCCTCCTGGGCTCTTTCCTAGGCACCCCTTGGCCACCTTCTTCCACCTGTTCTTCCGAGTGAGCGCCATCGTCACTTACGTGGGCTGCGACTGGTTCAGCAGAAGCTTTGTGGGCTGCTTCGTCACCGTGCTCCTCCTTCTGTCCTTCGACTTCTGGTCTGTGAAGGTGAGGCCCCCCTGTGATGCCTTTGCGCCCGGGTGGTGGCTGTCCTGATGCAGGTGGTCGATTTGAGCGAAGAGGTGCTCTGGCTGGAACTGCTGATACATTCTTAGGAATACGGAGCCGGAGTCACTTAAAATTAGAGGAGAAAATACATTGTTTAGTGTGGAGTAAATGGCTTCAGGATATCAACTGTTGCAAATATGTGCCATGTGAGGTGACAACTCCATATGGCTTTGATCTTTAATAAAGTTTACATAGAATATACAGAGATTTAAATGTTCTACCTAATGTGGATATATATATATATTCGGGGAGTCTGTCACTTTTTAAGGTAAGCTTAATTAAAAATTAGAAGCCTCGAAAACTGACTGAGAAACCACCACAGTCCAGTTCCCCACCTCTCGCTCCCAGTACAAGTTTAACTTCTGTTTTATTCACCAACAAACAGGTGACGACCTGCCCTTTGCCCAAAGTGCGCTGAGAGTCACTCTGTCCCTTTTCCTAGAATGTAACTGGGAGGCTCATGGTGGGCCTCCGCTGGTGGAACCAGGTCGATGAAGATGGGAAAAGCCACTGGATTTTTGAAGCCAGAAAGGTATTCTCCATGACGAGGCGAACCAGCATGGGGAGAGCGGCGGTGGGAAGTGTCCGTGGGTTCCTTTGGGCCCTGCGTGCTCTGATCCTGCCCTACCCAAAGTCCACTGGGGCCGGCGCCCGGCGCGGAACAGGAGCACATGTAGAATCAATGAACATGACGGCATGAATCACTTTCCCACACAGGTCTCTCCGAACAGCATCGCCGCCACCGAAGCAGAAGCCCGGATCTTCTGGCTCGGCCTCATTATCTGCCCCATCATTTGGATTGTGTTCTTCTTCAGCACCTTGTTTTCCTTGAAGCTAAAGTGGCTGGTAAGGCAACACCCGACTCTATGACATTGCTTTGACATCTGCACACAACCAGGGGTCCCAGGAGTGGATTGTTGTTTATTGACAGATTTATGGAAATAGCTGAAATATGGCTCACCTATATAATGTATATAATTCAGTGGCTTCTAGGTGTTCCGTTGTGCAGCCATCACCACAATCACTTTCAGGATTTTCACCGCCCGCAAAGACACCCTGTAGCCTTCAGCCATCACTACCTCCCAGTGCCCCTGTTCACCCAGCCCGACACCCACTCATCTTTGTTTCTATAGGTTTGTCTATTCTGAACATTCCCTATAAGTGGAATCATACAATATGTGGTCTTTTGTGACTGACTTCTTTCACGTAACGTCGCATTTTCAAGGTTTATCCATGCTATCGCATGTATCAAGACATCTTTCCTTTTCAGGCTGAATATTCCATTGTATGGATAGGCCACATTTTATTTATCCCTCCATCCATTGATGGCCGTTTTGGTTGTCTCCACCTTTGGTGCACGAATAATGCTGCTAAGAGAGGAGTTATAGAAAACGCCTATGACATTCTACCTTGGACAGGGAACCCTTCCTAGGTAGGAATAAGCTAGCCTCAGAGTTCTGAAGTTTTATTTCAGAGCTACTGTATTTTGTTGCCATGACTTGTTTCGTTTGCTCAGAAAACAAAATATCCACAGACAGTATAAGCAGCAGCGTGATTAGAGGTGTGGACTCTGGAGTTTGGGTCCTGGTTTGGCCTTGCACCAGCTCCTGGACTTTGGGCCACTTTTGTGTCTCTGGGATGATAATGGCACCGACTTCTCAGGTTGGTGATTAAAAGGTGTCCAGGAGTCTTTTAGGTGCTCAGTCGAGGTTGGCTGCTACGTCAGGTGCAGGCCAGAGCCACCGCCACTGGGTGTGGGAGGGACATTTCCATCTAAGCCCAGGAGACTGACCTTTGCTTTGTCTGAGCACAGGCCCTCGTGATAGCGGGGATCTCTCTCCAGGCCGCTAACCTGTATGGCTACATCCTGTGCAAGATGGGAGGCGAGAGTGACATCAGCAAAGCCGCCGCCAGCTTTCTGTCCCAGACGGTGTTCCAGACGGTGAGTGACTGAAGCTCAGAGGGAGGGGCCTGTTGGCAGCTGCAGTGCTGAATGTTTCCTTGTCAGTCAGGCTGCCACAGTTAGTCTCTAAATTGCGGTGAAATATACACAACATAAAACTGACCATTTTAACTAGTTAGTTATTTTTAATCTTCACCTGAGGGTATTTTTTTCATTGCTTTCTCAGAGAGTGGGAGGGAGAAAAAGAGGGGGAGAGAGAGACAGACAGACAGACAGACATCGACTGGTTGCCTCCCTCACACTCCCGAACAGCAACCCAGGGACATGCCCTTGACTGGGAATCGAATCTGTGACCCTTCAGTGAGCAGGCTGACGCTCTAACCATGAGAAATGCTGGCTAGGGCCATTTTAACTATTTTCAAGTGTACATTTCAGTGTCATCTAGTACATTAACATTGTTGTACAACCATCCATCCCCAACCACCATCTGTCTCCAATCTAGAACCTTCCATCTTCCCAAACTGAAACTGTACCCATTAAACAGAAACTCCCTGTTGCCTGACCCCCAGCCCCTGGAATTCACCATTCTACTTTCTATTGCTATGAATATGATGACTCCAGGGACCTCACACAAGTGGAATCATACAGTATTTATCCTTCTGTGACTATCACCGTTAGTCTTCGGTGATTTTAAAAACTGCAGAATTTAGAAGCACAATTTTTTAACCACACATATAAATGAGGTGAAATAAATGTGACCAGGCTCATCCTGAAGTGATGTGGACTGTGTTAAATGTTCGTAGCGCTACTGTATGCTCTTGGTGCATGGTGGGTTTGCCCTGGCCTCGAGTTGGAATCAGGCCGGCACAGGTGGGACCGAAAGCCATGGCTGCCTTTCCTTGCAGGCCTGCCCACGTGACTTTGAGAAGCCTGGCCTCGAGGGGCTGGAGATCCACAAGTGTTAGGTGAGAGGCGGGATCAAGGCAGGGGTCTTGACCGGGGCTGGAGGCTTGTGAGAAGTGCATCTCCCCTGTGCTCGGCTGTGCCCGTGGCCTGGACGGCCTACCCAGTAGTGCCCTGAGTGGCCAGGGACATAGCCAGGTGGGGAACCAGCCTGTGCACTGGGCATCCTGGGCTTTGTGACTGCATCACCCTTTACTGGGGCCCCACCCTCCTCACGTTGGACATGTACAAATTCGACCACATGCAGGCATAAAGGGGAGCAGGGAGGGAAATGAGAAGATGAGAGGAAAGAACAAGGGAATTTGCCCACCTACCACTTACACTCGGAGTAAGATGGAAAATAGGAATTTACGCTTCCCTCACCGTCTCCATCCCTGTGCATCTCAGAGGGAGCTCTCTTGGCAATGCCCATAATTCTAGAGTTCACCCCTGTCTTTCCTGTGAAATGTCTTGTGTGCCACCGGAAGTTACTGGGGGAGTGTCATGTGACTATACAGGGCCGAAACAGACCCCAGTTCGGTTTAGTGGGTGATCTCAGGGCTGCTCAGGGGTGTTCTGACCACGTGCAGCTGCATCGACACTAACCTCAGAACAAGCCCTGGCTTGAGGCTCCATCGATGTTCCTTTCCCCGATCTGGAGAGAAACTGGACTACTACTAACACCGTGACCGTGTGCTCTGCACCGAAGCCACACCTCATCCCTTTGCTTCCCTTTCAGGCATATCTTCAGAGGCAGCAGTAGCGAGGTGAGGGCTCTGCAGTCAAGCAAGCGCCAGCAGGCATTCCGACCAACAAGCCGCGGGTTTTCAGTGAAGCAGGGACGTTTGAGGAGACGCTTTTATTTTTTAAATGGCACATGTGTAAAGAACGCCCTTTACATGTGATCTAAAGAAAACTGTACAAATATCAGGTGATTAAAGTGTCTGCAAAAGTGACTTCACACCACACCAGAGTCTGGTCCCTCTCTGCCTTGAGCCCGCTCTGTGCCCGAGTGGTCAGGACGCGCTGGCCGTGCTGCTCGCGTCCATGTCCCCCCGTGTTTCAGGAACTAACGAGGTCCTCTCTTCTTTGGGCCGATGGGGACTACAATACTCCTGGATTCCTGGAAAACAAGGCGGCAGGCAGAGAAACACGGGCAGCTCCTAGTGCCCCGGGCAGCCCTGCCTGTGCCAGCCTGGGCACTTCCAGGCTGGGGTGGAATCCCCAGATGTTGAACTCCCTAAAAAGCCCCATTTCTGTTGATGCCCCGAATCTTCAGTGACCTGAATACCACACACGGCCCATCGTGGTGAGAACCACGCTGGAGGCCCGTCCTCGGTTCATTCTTCAGAGCCCGGGAGTGATGTTACTTCCCCAACACCACTTCACTAGGCAGAAAGCCCCGCACAAACCAGACTGTAGTTGGCCGCCGGTTGGGAACTGGAGCTGCACGTGAGTTTGGTGTGGCTCACGAGGCTTTGTGTCTTGTCTTCTTAATTTTCTTTGGACAGCTTTACCGAGACGCATTTTCTATGCCGTAAAACCCACCCTCACTGTGTCTTTTACACTATGACTTAGCCCACAATATTGACATCCTGACAGGTTTCTCAGAGACTCCCGGTCCCTGGGTTGAGGGAGGTGCTCTCCAGGTCATCCCAGACCCCACCCCACTGGCCTGAATGCCCAGCCGAGGCTGCGAGGCAGTGACCACTTATGATCCTAAAGGGTCTCCTCACACCCAGCCCACTCTGCTCATTTACGTCACCTCCTGGCCCCACAGCCATCTGGATTCACAAGGCTCACATAAACACTTACTTTGAATGATGCTTCTGTAGGCTACCGTAGCTGGTGAATCTGGCGCGTCAACCAAAAAAGACCGTCCTTCATCGCAACTCTTCCCTTAGAGAAACAAATGAAAGGGAATTAAATCCCTGAAGAAAACCAAGTGGCAACATGGCCTTGGGGCTCTTTCTGTGCCTGTGACATTAGGAAGCTCCTGAATTCATAAGGAACAACGCCAAGAAAGAATGGCAGGGCCTCAGAGGACCCCCTGCCTCCCTCCATCCACAGGGACCCTCCCTGGCCAAGGGTGTTCTGTGTGTGTGCCTACAATTCATCTGGGTGGTGTGGCAATGCAGGTTCCAGGGCCCCACACAGGACCGATTCAGCAGCTCCTGGGTGGGCCCAGGGACTGAGTTTTCAAAGACTAATTAGTTCTTTTGAGTAAAAAGATAATGAATGCACATGGAGGAAAAGTATGGGATACAAAACATACCATAAAAGATGAGGCTATCAGTGTTTCAGATGTCTTTCTAGAAACTGTATGTGCATATATAGGTGGTACATATATGCACGCGCACCCATATACTTTAAAAAAAATGAATGGCAGCGTGTGATACACATGTTCTGCCCACTGCTTTTTCCATGTATACTCGCATCCTGAAGGTCATTCCACATCGGCATCAACCTGTCTGCGAATCTTTCATAAGATTGTCCACCCCAGTGTCCTCCTGTGGATACGCAGGTTGCCTCTAGGACCTCATGTCAACCCCGTGTCCCGGTGAGCAAATGCAGGGGGCCTGCCCCAGTGGGCGCGAGGCCTTCTCGCCTCCTCCACCTGTCTGCCCACCCCCATTCCTGCATAGACCCCTGCGGTTGGCGTTTCTGCCCCTGCCCCCAGCTGCTGAGCGCTGCTGGAGAAGCATGCTCAGTGATTCCCCACCCACAGCTGCTCCCCAATCTCAGTGGGCCCTGGTGAGGCCAACCTGGAACTGTCATTTCCTCGACTCCCCCGTGGAACAGGGAAACCCCAGCAGGGAGAGGAGCCCTGGTGAGGGGGCACAGAAGTGGAGCTCCCGTGGGAACACGTGGAAGCAGCTCGGGAAGCCCACCAGAGTTCACAGCAGCAGAATCAGGTCTGGGAAGCACAGGTCCCAGAACTGTCCCCTAAGGGACCCTTTGTTCATTTCCTAGTGCCCTCCCTGCACCGGCATCGCCCTGACCAATCTCTCCTCCACTCTTCCAGCCCCACCTCAACCAGACCTGCTACCTGAGGTCTGCCTGCTCCCCTGGCCACCTGCCCGCCTGGTTCACTGCCTCTCTCCGCTGCAGGGGGAGCTCCTGGAGGTGGTCCAGGGGCCGGGCCCCGGTGTATGAAGGCCCCACTGAGCAACGGAACCGGGCGTGGAGACTCACCCACCTATGTGCGGGTCCAGAGGCACTTTGCCGAGGAGCGGTATCTTCAGGTCCTGGCACATGGCCTCTGCACCCCCCGTTGTGGGCGGGAATATCTGAGACTCTTTCTGTGAGGCAAAGTAAATGGGGGGAGAATCATGACTTTGTTTCAGGATCACAAGACGGGTCCACATTTTAAAGGAAGTTTTCAAAAATGTCCCTTCTGAACATGAAACACTAACTACCAAAGACTTCATTCAGCCAGCAGTGCAGCATTGTCACTGTGATCCCACTTCTGGAAACAACGGGGAAAGCATCCGGTTTCACGGAGACCCACGGACGGGGCTGGTCAGCACTCACCTTGCACTTGGGGCAGACGAAGCCGCTCATGTTCTCCACCACCCCGATGATGGGCAGCTTCACCTTGTGACAGAAGCTGATTTCTTTCCGGACATCCTGCAGGGACACCTCCTATCACGGTTCAAAAGACCAGTTGTTTCAAAGTCAAAGGACAAGCCAGGGAATGTGGACGCCGCAGTGCAGTGGCTCGCCCTCAGAAAGCTTAGGGAGTGAGCCGTTTATCCAACTTAGTGCCGACCACGTGCCAAGCCCCGTCCCAGGCACTATTCATTCCCCACAAAACCCAGGAAGGATGAACCCGCACAGCCACACATCAAATACATAATGAATCTACGGAAAAGTGACCTTTCAGCATCTCTTTTTTTCCTTTTTATTGGATTTATTGAAGTGACACTAGTTAACAAAATTATACAGGTTCAGGCGTGCAATTCCACAACACAACTTCTCTACACTGTATTGTGTTCACTACAAGTCAGGTCTCCTTCCATCACCATGTAGCCCCCTACGCCCTCCTCCACCCCCAACTAGCATGTCCCAATGTTTACTTTCTTTTCAACATACTATGCTGAGCCAAAGGGCGCACCATTTTTCATTCAGGGGTTGGGGAAGTAGGCCTGTGGCAAATCCTGGCTGGCTGCCTGTTTGTCAGGTTCTTCCGAAACCCAGCCATGCCCGTGCTTTACATACCGACTCCAGTAGCTCCCACCCTACAGTGGACCAGCTGAGTGGCTACGACAAGGACCACATGATCCCCAAAGGCTAAAATATGTACTCTCTGGGCCTTCACAGAAAAAGTTTGCTGACCTCTGATCTAGATTATTATGAAGACAAACAACTTTGTGGACAGAAAGAAAATAAGATCTTTGGATCACTTAAAATTCACTTCTGAACTCTGCATGTATATTTCACAGTGTGAGTATTGAGTATGATCATTGCTTAGTACCCCCCAACCCCCCCACCCCCGCTCCCCGGTTAATGTTGTTGCAGACACATGTCCTCAAGTATGGCTACTCCTTAGCACTAAGGTGTGACTGGCAGCCACGGCTCCCGAAGGGTCACAGCTCGAGTCGCCTGCTCTCCAGAGGCACACGTTGGCTCTAGGCCTCTGAGGCTGGGGTGCAGGCATGTAGTTGGAGCGTACACCGGCTCTGACTGCATCTCGCTGCGCCTCTGGCTCTCTCCGTGGTGTCCTGTAAAGCCTGCGGTGCCCGATGTGAAGGGCTCTGAGAAAGTGGGTGTCCACAGCCCGAAGTGACCTTGTCCAGACAGGCTCTATACAAAGGGCACCCGTGGCGCGTGCCTGCTCCCCATGGCTTCCCGGGGAAGGGCCAGCACCTGTTGGTCCGTCCCCTCTTCTTGATCCCTCAGGGACTCCATGTTTCCATTCACAACAAATGTGGCAGGAGAAGCCGTCTTTGGGCCAACTAGACTTTTGCTAATAGACTTTCTTTTTAGAGCAGCTTTATGTTCACAGCAAACCTGAGCAGGAAGCACAGGGACTTCTCACAGGCCCTTTGCCTCCACACACGGAAAACCTTCCCCACCATCAACATCCCGGGTGGTGCATTCCAGCCAGACTGTTTCCTTCTAGTAATTACATTGGGAACAATCCATCTTCTCTCCACCTCCACCCGGGCCAGTGCCCAGGTGGCCTCTAGCCACCCAAGTGGTGTCTTGCTCCTCATGCCCCCGACATCTCTCTGCACAGGGGACCAGAGTGATCTGAAGACATGAATCCTGTCACACCACGGACAGCATCCTGCATGTGCCCGTATGTACAGCGCCCACATTCCTCAGTGACTGCATGGGCCATGAGGGGAACCGGTATGTTTCACTGCCCTGGTGCCCAGCCCAGGGCCTGCATGTAGTGACTGCTCAGTGAGGGTTGGTGAAGGATGGAGTCAGGCTGCCTGATTCAGAGGCAGACCAAGCCTCGCTATCCTGCTTCCTTAGGAGTGGGGAAGAATATTGTGAGAAGCATAACTGAAGAGAACCAGCTATTGGTTTCTTGGGACCCTTAAGATCAGCGGCAATGATAAAGCACAGCCCAGGCCTGATGCATTCACTGCCTCCGGACTTACCCAGTGGGGGTTCCTCAGAGCCCGGTGGCACAGCCTCTGTGACTGGTACATGAGGATCTGACAAGACCCGAAGCAGCTTCCCCAGAAATCCCCGCCTACGCCCGGGCTGGTGCCGTGGAAAACTGGGGAGAGTTCCAAACTGTCCTGCAATGCGAGTGAGGGGGCCCTGCAGACTGCGGGCTTGATGCATGAGCGTGGTAAGGGTGAGGTGACCATGGCGGACCATCTGAATTGTAACAGCACCATCGCTCTCGCTGGCTTTGTGAGAGGAAATTAAAAGGCAATTTTGAACCACTGCTGGACCAAAAAAACCCAACTATAAAATGCTTATTTGTCAAACGCAAATGCCTGGACCAAACATAAATGGGGTTTCTGCAGAGACAAAGCAGGGCTGCTCGTCCCGAAGGGCCCTTGGCAGACCAGGGTCTCAGGGCCTGCAAGGAAGAGAGCTTCTGGCGGCGCAGTCCCCACCCAGCTCCCTCCGCACTCGGTCACCTGAGGGGTGGTGATGATCACGGCGCCATCGATGTGCGTGGCGGCCAGGTATTGGACGACCGAGAGGTGCTCGTCCGACGTCCCAGGGGGGGTGTCCACGATGAGGTAGTCGACCTCTCCCCAGTCCACATCGCGGAGGAACTGCTTGATCATGCCTGAGAGGAGGGACCGCACTGAGGCCAGGCCTCCCTTTCCCCAGGCTGGGCTGGGGGCTCCACAGAAACAGTCTGTGACCCTCACGCACAGACTCTCAGCCATGGCATCTGGCAACGTCTGGAGACATTGGTGGCTGCCACGCCAAGGGAGGGGGTGCTGCTGGCATCCAGCGCAGAGGCCAGGCTGCCCCTGACATCCCTGGTGTGGAGCACCGTCCACCCCTCCCCTCACTACTATGGCCCCCCATGTCCCAGGGCCGAGTTTGAGGACTCTGCCTAAGCCTCAGTGCCCACTCAAGCTGGTATCGATTTCAGTTCAGACACTTCTCTCTCTGACACAAATAAGCCACTACTAAACCACAATAAATATGGATAATTTCAGGGTTATATAGGTTTTTAGGAGAAAAAAAAACCCACAATAGATAATAAAGACTGTAAAACAAAAACTGGTATTTCTTCAACCAGTGACGACAGAGGCAACTGGACGCTTAAAAATCCTGCCGCGGCGTCCCGACAGCAGGGCACAGGGGAGCCGAGCAGTCCTGCCTGGGGGAGCGACAGACAGACAGAGCGGGGCACAAACCGTTCTTCTTGGGTCCTCTCCAGATGACAGCGTCGTCGGGGCTGCTGAGTAAGAAACCCACTGACATCACCCCCAGGTTGTCTTCCAGGAACTGGAGAGGATGAGGCAAGAGACATTTTACTTAAAGCCACAGCACAAGGCACTTCCCTATGTCTCGTCTGGCTGAAAAAAACCCTTTGGGGGTAATATTACTGTGATCTATGAGAACATGCACTCTTTGAACCCTCAAATCATTCTGAGGGGAAAAAGGGTACCATATGGTGGGATGGAAAGAGGTATCATTGGCCCTCAGCCACAATGACAGGCGACTTGGCTGAAATAAATGAGCATCATGCCCTCAACTGGCTGAGCCTGGGCTGGGCTGTGGCCACTGGGCCACACCGGGCCCACAGCTGCTTTTGTACATGAACTTTCACTGGAATACAGCCATGGTCATTCATTTACATATTCCTGCTTGTGAGCTACAGTGATGGAGAGGGTATGGCCCACAAACAGAAAATGGCCACTGTCTGACTCGACAATGGCCACTGTCTGACTTGACAGAAGCCGTCTGCCAAGCCCTGGTCTTCATGGAGGCTTGCGCTAGAAACGTGCCCGGGTACATGCTTGCTGACTGATGCGCAGGCGGGCTGAGAACAGTGTCGCCAGCCACCGCATACCCACTATGCATACATGGCCCAACTCCACTCCATTGAAAATAAGGCAAAAACGTGAGCACTCACCACTGGAGACCAGCCCGAGCCACTCTGGTGCACCTGTGTGAACACAGGCATCGAGTCACTTGTGAGTCCTGCGCCCTGGTCACCCTTCATACAGACACATTTTGCGCAGCAAGAAGACAATTTTACAAAATAGAATTAATCTAAAATGCCACTACGTAATGCTTAATAGGAAGTGAACAGCTGGGGGGGGGGGGGCGGTGCTGGTTAATGAAAGTGATAATTCAATATCCTTTCCCCTGTCAAACTGGGCTGTTTTGAAACTGCTTAGATAACATCTAGTCAGGGAACCAGTTACCCAAGTCAAATATAATTTTGGGTCCGAGGTATTTTCAAAGAGTGACAGAAATTGCCTGTGGGTTACTGAGAAAGTGCAGTAACTGGAGCAGCGGGGGTGCCCCTCCAAGCTGGAAGTGAAGAAAGTACTGTGAGTGAGCCAGGGGACACAGCACCGCCCTGCCCGTGGCCTGAGCTTCGCTGGGGCCTGCTGTCCCCAGGGAGCAAGCACTGGGAGGAAGGTGTCAGGGAGAGGCTCCCTGGGGGACGTCACGATGGACTCTCCGTCACGGTGCTCATCAATAGCCAGGGCTCAACTTCGCACCACCTGTTCCGAAGCTAGAACTTAAGCAACTCCCAATGACATGTCAATCTTAGAAATCAGAGCAGCGCAGGAGCCAACACCGAAAGTCTGCTTTCCTTAATGAAGTCTTGCTTTCTAAAACAGCTCTATGGAGACATCAGTCACACAGTGTACAATGCACCTCCTGGAAGTGCAGAGTTCAATGGCTTTCAGGATAGCCACATGATCGTACATCCACCACCACAATCAACCCTAGAGGACACCCTGCACCTCTCCCGTCACCCCCAATCCTGACACTTCCCTCCAGAACTAGGTGACCACAGATCTACTCTGTCTCTGCAAGCTGCCTGTTTCAGTCATAGAAGTGCAATCATGTGACATGTGGTCCTTTGTGTCTAGCTTGGACGTCTCATTAAAACAACAACAACAACACAACAAAAGCATTTGTGCCCTGGCTGGTGTGGCTCATGCGGTTGGAGTGTCATCCTGTGCACTGAAAAGTTGCTGGTTCAATGCCTGGTCAGGGCACATACTGGGGTTGCAGGCTTGTTCCCCGGCAGAGGGTGTGCAGGAGGCAGCCAACTGATGTTTCACTCTCACATCAATGTTTCTCTCTCTCTCTTTCCCTCTTCCATCCCCTCTCTCTAAAAATAATATATATATATAATAATATACATATAAAATAATAGATACATACAATAGTATATACATAAAAAAATAAACTCATTCCTACTTATCCATTAAAAAAATAAACCTTCCCAAAGAGCAGCTCCCGTGCCTGCCCTGCTCCATGCTGTCTGCTGCCTCACCCTGCTTTAGTTTTCTATTATCTATCGTCTGTCCCTCCCATGAGGGCCAGGGTCTGTATCTTCCTTGCTCACCACTGGGTCCTAGTACACAGAACAGTGCCAGCACTTAAATAAGACTGAACCATTCTGGACACTCCCAGCCCAGCCCAGCCCTCTAGCCAGATTCCAGGCACTGCCCAGGGCGGGGGAAGCCTTCCTGGGATTGCTTCTCGAAGCAGCTCGGAAGGGAGAGGCTAGCACCTGCTCAGACCACTGTGGCCCCACCCCCAACCCCCCTACCCCCCACGTCACTCTCCCACTTCATAGTCTCAGTTCCCCAGAGGTAACCACAGGGCAGAAATATTCCCTTGCTTCCAGGGTACAAGCCCTCAGCCAACTCTGGTCTGGCTTTCCCAGTCAGCTAAGCTTCCGTGTCTTACTTCTGCATTTTACTTGCTGTTTCCCTTCCCCTCTGAGAAGGCATCGAAACCAACACTTCTTTAATGGTTTAGATGAACTTTATAAATAGTCCCCCCCCACCCCCCCGCCTCAATTCACAGTTATTGTTGAAGTAGACAGATGGATTAGCAAACATTTATCTGGTTTTATCATGTCCGTGTAGAAATGCATGGGCTGTGCTAATCCTCTGTTTAGGCTGAGGAGCTCAGCACAGTAGTTTGCTGTAAGAGGCCACTCCACTGCATTTTATAACACACCTCTTACCTGTTCTCCTTCCAATCCCATTATCTTGGGAATGGACGGCCCACATATATCGATGTCTAGAAGAGCAACCTGGGGAACAAGAAGAGACCAGAGCTGTGACATGACTGAAAGTACAATCCTGCAGACACACAGTTGGGAGGGGAATCGGGTTAGAGGGAAAAGAGGGAGGGGAGAAGAGGAAAGAAACTGGGTCAAACATGGACCAAGTAGAACCTCACAGGGAAGAGTTACAGCACTATCTTCCAGCCACGGACACAGTCAAGACTCCCAAAGAGATCTTGGCAAAGTGCGTCAGCACGGACTCCCTCCCTCCCGCCCAGACTGACCTGGCTCGAGGTGCTCCTATGGACCTGGGTGTCAGGTCACGTGGAAATTCAGGCCTTGGCACTGTTTACTTGGCCCTGACCATGTGCCTGGGGGTGGGTGTCATTGTCTCTGCGTTAGAGACGAGGGAACTAAGGTTCGGGGGCGCCGTGACCTGTTCAGTGAGCCAGGACAGAGCTGGGACATAAATCAAGGTCTCTGACCCCAAAGCCAGGGCTCTCTCCCCAAAGCCAGGAGCCCTGGCAAGGAGCTGAGCTCTGACCAAACCCCGCTGCCCTGTGATCCCAGAGGCTAGCTTCCAGAAAAGAAACTGAAAAGAAGAAGGAAAGCTAGGAAACCTCTTTGCTAGTGGTAAGCAGAGCCGGGGATGACTCCTTCCACGCCAAACGCCCTGCTTTCCCTGAGGTGGATGAGGTCTGAACCGGCCTTCGGGAACAATATTCATCTGGAAACCTCTAATGTGCTGCATGCAAAGTGCAGCATCTCTGGGTAACTTTTTAACTTGCCCCAAATTCGCTTCTTGCTTCCTTCTTCAAGGCTCTCAACAAACACCAACCTCCTACTTCCTCACCTGCTCAGACCCAGGGTAGGAAAGCTTTTCATACAGATCAGCCGGTTACCTCAGGCGCCCTCTGCTGGACTAAGCAAGGAGTGCAACAGAATGACACAACTTGACAACCCGACCTTGCCCGACTTCCTAAGTCCTGACACTTGGGGACTGATGTGTGTTCATGATCCACAGGCATTTTACATCACAACCTCACAATTTAAGAAATCATACTATCACCACCCCCTAATAGAGACTTGCATCAATTCTCTTCGGTTTCCAGCACAGTAGCCATGTTCTTCTGGGAACAATTTAATGTTTCCTTTTGAGGCACGAAACTCCCCACAGCCAAGGGAGTGAATCATGAGTGCAATTATGCAAGGACACAAGAACAGACTGCTTGCACTCACTCCCGTGGCAGGTCACGTCCATGCTGTCCAGATCTCCAGTGGTCCTGTGTCCTGTCCCTTCCAAACCTCCTGTCGATCCTGTCCCTATCCTCACTATCCTCAGTATCCATCCAATTCATTCACTTTCTGCTCAAGTTAAGCCACAGAACCCTCGCTGAGAGAAACGTGCCTGGTCATTCTGACCAGGGCCTCTGCGGAAGGTGCTGGAAGCCTGAGGGGAAGAGGAAGCCTTGCCACACCTCTCCCACCCACAAAGCGGTACAGTGGTCAGGATCCAAACTTCCCCCTAAGGGGTGGCCACTTGGGCCAGGGCTGTGCCCAGTGTGGGGGCTCCTTATGTCCGCGCTCTGTGCCACTGAGCCACAGGAGACAAGCGCCTTAAAGCCCCGTCTCAGCCCCCAGGTACGGAGGCGGCTAGGCAGTCACGGTCGGGAGTGTGGAGCCGCTGGGTGTTGGCAGTGGTGTGTGCGTCTAGGTCAGCCGTGGGCAAACTACGGCCCGCGGGCCAGATCCGGCCCGTTTGAAATGAATAAAACTAAAAAAAAAAAAAAAGAGACCGTACCCTTTTATGTAATGATGTTTACTTTGAATTTATATTAATTCACACAAACACTCCATCCATGCTTTTGTTCCGGCCCTCCGGTCCAGTTTAAGAACCCATTGTGACCCTCGAGTCAAAAAGTTTGCCCACCCCTGGTCTAGGTGCTGCTTTACAAAGTGTACTGAAATGGCACTTCCGTTTCTCTGATGCTTCCTGGAAGCCACAGAACTTAGGGGCTTTAAGAAAAATAAAGGAAAATTAAACACACAAAAAAGAAGAGGTCATGGGAAGTGGGGTCTAGTCCTAACTTGGCACTGGCTGTCACCTCATACACATTGCTGCTCCTCTCCCAGCCCTGTCCGTCTGAGCTGCTGAGCTGTGAAACAAATGTTTAGGGAGATTATTAGGGCCCTTCTAGCTTTAGAGTCTACAAACCCCACAGATGGGCCTAAAAACTCAACAGGCCTAAAGCACCTAGCGTGGACCTTTTAATGGTCAAGTTCATCTTTTAGAGCACAAAGCAAGATGATGAAGTGGTGATTTAGGGAAGCTGGCGACTTGTGGTGGAAAGATGGCGTGAGAGCTTTTGTTGTCAGAGGCTGGGCTCCTCCGCCTCCCTTCACCACAACCTGCACATTTCCCAGTCTGTGATTGGTCAGGAGCTTCCCAATTCTGCTGCCTCCTGATGCAAAGCCCTTCGCAAACGAGTTGTCAGATACCTGCCTGCCTTGAGTGCAGACACGAACAGCCTTGCTCAGGGTTAGAAAAGGGACAGGGTGCTCCCCCCATCCTGCTGAACTCAGGGCAGGGAGGAATGTGTGAGACTGCAGTGTGATCTGCGAGACACGCTGAGCATCTATATGCCCACGCTGGGCACCTTTTGGAAAGGGACACACTTCCCCACGTACTGACTGTTTTAAAAAGCACTGCTGCATAAAGAAATTCGGCTCATCTAGCCCTATTTCCACACCGGATGGCGTGCTTTCCTTCAGTCTACTGCAAGGTCTAGACGTGTGTGCAGTGGGGCTTTCTGAACATAATTATATGGAAGCGTAATTCTATGTAAACAGCTGTTGATTCACAAGTGGTTACTTGCAACTGGCCTGGCGAGAGCCCACCTCCAGAGAGCTGAGAGGAATATGCCCAACAGCTTCAAGAAGCCACGATTTCTCTGGGTAACCTGGACCATGAGAAAACAGATTTCTCGGCTAGCCAACTGGACCTACAAATTTGACCCTCAAATGGATAGAAGAATGAATTGACAAACATGTTTTGAATCTGCTCAGCACTGTTTGGGTAGGCTATAAATCATTATCACTGAAGCAAAAATTTCATCACCCCCCTATTTCAGTTAGTGGAATAAAGTAACAATAATGATTGCTATCAAGGACACTTACTGAGCACTCACTATATGTCAGGTACCCTGTTAAGCACTTTACGTTTACATGTATCGTCTCACTCAGCCTGCGTCCATTTTACCTACCCGAGGTCACAGCAGTGGTGTGGGTGGGGCTGGGTGACTCTAGGGCAGGGGTCCTCAAACTTTTTAAACAGGGGGCCAGTTCACTGTTCCTCAGACCGTTGGAGGGCCGGACTATAGTTTAAAAAAAAACTATGAACAAATTCCTATGCATACTGCACATATCTTATTTTGAAGTAAAAAAACAAATGCTTTCGGCGGGCTGCATGTGGCCCGCGGGCCGTAGTTTGAGGACCCCTGCTCTAGCGCCTATGCTCTTGGCCACCACGCTAGACTGCACCCCAAATGCTCAATTAGAGTTCCAACTCCTCTCTCCTCTAAAAGGTGGGAGGTTCTGCTCTATCTCCCCAACTCTGCCCTCATTTGTTCCCTGCCGTTGCTCCAATCTCTGCCCTAGTTTGGACCCTCGGGGCCTGTCCTGAAGACATGGCTTCGCCCTCTCTCTGTACTCAACCACACACTCGCTGGCTGTCACGTGGTGCTCCTAAAGCACAGGTCTGGCTCAGCCTCAGCCTTGGCCCCTTCCCAGGAGCAGTCCCCCAGACTGCCTGCCTCTCCATGTCTGCCCCGGCAGTCCCACCTCTGTGCCTTGGTACCCCCTCCCCATCCATCAGTCGCCATCACAGTCCTGATGCCACCTTCTCCAAGCCCAGTTGTCTCTCCTTTTCCCCAAATCCCTAGAGAACATCTTGATGGCAGACACCAGATTCTAGAGAAGCCCATGTCAGCCACATGCAGCCAATGACAGCAGCTCCATGGGTTATAAAATGATCGGAACAGAAATGAGGGATAAGGCAGAATTCAGAGCCCTAATGACTGACAGGAACACGGAGCTTCATAGATCATGTAGTCCAGCCACTTCACTGTCCCAGGAAGGCTGTGCCCTGCCCAAGGTTCCAGTCCTGCAAAGTTCTTCCCCAGCCAGCACAGGTGCTTCTGGTGTTAAAAAACAAACCAGGGCCCAGCAAACTACACCCTGGGGCCAAATCCAGCCTGCCACCTGTTTTTGTACAGCCCACAAGCTAAAAGTGGTTGTTATATTTTTAGAGATCTGGAAAAATAAAAATAAAAAGAATACTTTTGTCATGTTGGAACAATTATGTGAAATTCAACTTTCAGTAACAATATAGTTTTATTAGAACACAGACATGCTTGTGGTATATAGGTTGTTGATGGCTGCCTTCATGGTTAAGGGCAGACTGGATAGTTGCTACAGAAACTGTATGGCTGGCAAAGCCTAAAATATTTGCCATCTGGCTGTTGACATGAAATGTTTGCCAACTCCTGAAGCAAACTCTAATTTTGTAATCCAATGACTTAAAAAAATATATTTCTGGAGTTCTTAGATACTGGTGAGGTGTCTTGGGGGCCACTGTGTGTGTACGTGTTTGTATGTTGAGGGCATATCAGAATGGTGGCTTGATCCCCTTGCCCACTGTAGCTGGCTTTATTGTTTTTAGTTTATTTTTGTGGAGGAAATAAAGACTTTATCATAGTAAGGTCTTAGGGTGCTATTGCTCACTGAGGTAGAATGGATTATCTCACACAAATAGAAAGTACTGAAATTTATCCAGCTTTTAGAGTTTTAAAATATAATAGGCAACATGTGGCAGTTTTGAAATTTCAAAAATAAATATACCTCTACAGTCCCTCTAGAACACTGGCTCTCAACCTTGGCTGCACATTAGAATTACCTGGGAATCTTTTTAAAATCCTGATTTCTGGGCCTCGTCCTCCAGAAATTCTGTTTCTTTGTTACTAATGTTGTGGCCCCAACCCATAACAAAGAAACAGAATTTCCAGAGGATGAGGCCCAGAAATCAGGCTTTTAAAAAGATTCCCAGGTGATTCTAATGTGCAGCCAAGGTTGAGAACCACTGCTCTAGAACTATCTTACTTTCTAAAAAAGTCAAACAAAAGTAAAGGGCCATATGTCAATAAGTAAGGAAAGAAAGTTGAAGTGAAAGTGTTAGCCCTCATATATAAAAATAACTTTCAATATTCAAAATGTTAGAAAAGTAATGTTCACAAATAAAACAATGCATGAAAGAAGGTACATACAAAGACCATGGAAAGAACTGAAATGGCAGGGAATGGCTTTCAACACAAACAAAATAAGATTGTTTCTACATTACACAGAGCTCTTCTGCAGGCCCCAGAAAGTGCTCTGATGGAGAAAACAGCATTTAGTTGGCAACTGAAATAGTGACTAGCAAGTTCTCTAACCCAGAGCACACACAGTGCCAATTCACAAGTTCTCACGAGGTCTCTCATTTCAGGGGTCAACACAGCGGAGGCTGGGTTTTGGAGACACCCATGCCACTCCACAGTTCTGAGATGTCCAGGTTTCTTTCATTGGAATTTTGGGCAAAATTTCATTTTGGAAACAACAGGCCATTTTAGAATGTAACCTGTGTTAAAACAAAACAAAATTGAAAAACACAATTGTCATGGTTTTATTAGATATAAAATGATAAAGTGAATATTTGGATCATTTTCTAAGGTCAATGCAAAATTACCATGAATCCCAATGAATAATGTATTTTAAAAATCACAGGTACTGCAAATTTCCATTTGACCTTTTGGGAAAAAGTATTTTTTTCTTCCTTGCCCCACCATACCTTTTATTAAGGCTGAAATCCAGAGAGCAGCACTGGGTGCTTTGAGTGTTCCTGCTCATTTGTGTAACTGGGCATATGTACAGGGGTCAGCAAGTTTTTTGGGTTTTTTAGAGGTTTGATGAATTTTTTGTTGTTTTGTGAAATATATACAGCAAACCAAGTGTTTTCTTCAAGGGCCAAACAGAAAGCATTTTAAGCTTTGTGGGAAAAATTATGGATATTATGTAGGCACGTATGTAACAACTAAAGGCCCAGTACACGAATTCATGCACGAGTAGGGTTCCTTGGCCTGGCCGGCAATCAGGGCCATTGGGGCAGCCGGCCAGGGGGAGGGACCACGGGAGGTTGGCTGTGGGAGCACACTGACCACCAGGGGGCAGCTCCTGCATTGAGTGTCTGCCCCCTGGTGGTCAGTGCATGTCATAGCAACTGGTCGACTGGTTGTTCAGTCAACCGGTCGTAAAGGTCGCTTAAGCTTTTATATATATAGATTTAAAAGCAACAATTTAAAAACAAACAGCTCTGGCCAGGTGGCTCAGTTGACTGGCGCATCATCTGGTACACCAATGTGGGTTCAGTTCCCAGTCAGGGCACATACCTAGGTCATGGGTTCAATCTCTGATTGGGGCGTGCATAGGAGGCAACTGTTGATGTTTCTCTCTCACATGATGTTTCTCTCTCATATTGATATTTTTCTCTCTCTCTAAAAATCAAGAAAAACAACAACAACATATCCTCAGGTGAGGATTAAAAAGTAATAATAAAAACAAGCAAATATAAACCCCCCAAAACAAAAATAATAACAATAGTAAGAAAATAAAAGCAACCATTTATAAATGTA